TTAAAGTTTAAAGTATATGGCAACTCTTAATGATCTAAAAAATATTATATTCCGCCTTTTATATATATACATACAATTTATTATTATGTAAAGAAGGTGAAAAATTCTTGAAATAAATTTATACGCAGTTTAATGTACCCATATATAATGTGTATTACATTTTTTTTGAATGAGTGCTTTTATACCCATATAATGTGTACATACAGAGTGATTTATTTAAATAAAATTTAATTTTAAATGGAAATGTTTAAGAAAAAAAAAATTTTATATTATTTTCGAAATTTTTTTAAATTTTTATTTAAAATTTTAAAAAATAATAAAATTTAATTATTATTGCATTTCAGAATTAAGTGAAACTGTTATATTCAGTATTAAGTTAAATCGTTCGAACTGTTATATTCTATAACAGAATATTGGATCATTCGATATGAAGTTTGTTTTTTATGTATATATGAAGTCACATATAATGTTTATTGTTATTAAAATGTTGAAATATTCCACATGTGTGACCATCAATGAATTTCGTTATGGTGAAAAATTTTAATTGAAATAAACAATGTATAAAAAAAGCGTAATAAAATTATGCAAATTTTATAGCATTTAAAATTATAATGAATACAAACATGTGCAAATAATGGGCCTCAGTGTAAAATTAAAAATTATAATTACAAGTGATATTTATTTAAATTTTTGATTTTAAGAAATTTGGCCTCAGTTAAATTTGGCTAATAATTTTTTATATTAAAATTTCAAAAGTGAAAATGCATTTTTTTTGGCAATGTTGCTTTAAGTTCCGAAACTTTACGTCAATTTTTTAGATGATTTCAGATTAAGCTGTGAGGAAGTTCATTACTTGATTTGGCAAATTTTTACTTGCAACAAAAAAAAATATATTTTGAAATTATATGAAAAATTCAATCTAATTATTAAGTTACAGGTTTTTATAAAATTACAAATTTAAAAATTTTGATATCCTGCACGCTATATAAATCGGAGACAGACCAGAGGATTACCAGCTAGTATGTAGCAAATAATAGTTGCAGTCTTATAGAATTTTTGCAATATTATCATTCGAATTTTGAAATTTATCCAACTAATCGCAAAATTCAAAATGTAAAGGCTATACAGCAAGAAATTTTGAAATTTCATTAATAACCAAGAGAGCTCTGAATTTGGTTAATTTTAACTTTCGGTATAATTAATTTAAAAAAAAAAAAACAATTTCCGTGATTTCCATGAATACTGTGAATTCAACTTGTTTTAATTAATGAATTGCGTAATAAATCGTATAATAGCAGTTTTAAAGTCAGGGTTCATCTAGAAATTACTTGGATATTTGGAATTTATGTGGAAATTTTAAGACTAACAGAATCCGCTTCTATACAAGAACTATTATAAACTATTGTTAATTATTGAGTACACTTTTACTTAGCAACAAATCAATTTTTATTTTTACATACTAGCTTTTAACGTAAGTAACGTAGTATAACATTTATACTAAATTATACAAAACAACAATTTACAATATAACCTTCCAGCATCTATACTTACTTAGTTTATGTGTTAGAAAACAATATTTTCTTCAAACTTTTTCTTCAATATACATGAATTCTATACATGTATTTTTGAAAAATATTTCTTAAGGATTTTTATTTCTTCACAATACATTATATCCTTATAATATATCATCCTTTATTGTACGAGTACATATACTTTTAGTTTGTTTCATTTTGTACAAAAAACTTATATTGTATATATAATGTATATGTGACATAATCGATGATAAAGCCAATAAATTCTATCTAGTATACGAGTACATATTATGTGTATTGTAGAAAATAAGTAGATATAAGAAAAAATCCTGTAAAAGGATCCAAGAACATTATTAATATTCATGTAATTATATATGGTGTATTCGTATGGTTATGTATGTGTAATAAGTATTAATTTAACTTGTATACTAAATAAATGTCTAGATATTTACTATATATATGTATAGCGTGGTATGTATAATATTAAACTATATATTTAAATAAGATGCGAATATAATGACATAGTACAAAAGTTATAAATTTCATTTTTATAATAATGGTGGTGGAATGCATTATATTCCACACATTTTACTACTAAATTAAGGAATTCAGCAGAAAATAAAAAAAAAAAAAAAACAAATAAATGTTTTTGGAGTGGAATTTTTCATTCAGTTTTTTGTTATATTTTTTTCTTGTTCTTATTTTATCCTTATATTTCATTTCTTATTAATAGTAGTCTGGTAATTTAAAATATTTAACTGTATAAATAATGGAGTTGCACAAAATGTTGTTGTTTAAACAGAGTCGGGTTTTAAGTGTTGCTCCTACCGTACGATTGAAATTTTTCCAAAAAGCGTACCGAATAGTGGTTGAAGTTGATGGCATTATTGATTTACAAAGGTTGTATTTCTAATAATTTTCAAATGCAACTTAAAATAATTGGATTTTTCATGTTTTTGATTTTGGAATTCTTCATCCTCATAATCGTAATATCGTAAGATATTTAGGTTTGCATAAATTATATTTCTTCCACACGCAGTGTAAAAAGTAAGAAAATTGTGAAAAAGATGGTTTATTTTAAGTTCAACAAAAATCCTATACTCAAAGATCTTATATCGTAATGCTATTATATTAAAAATGGCTTCCTTGTTATAGGGCGAGGAAGATTGGGGTTTTCGTATGAATATTCCTATTATATGAATGAATAATATTTGTGGAGTCTTCATGGATTTGAACACATGCAGAATCGTGATGTTTAAATATGGTTTTACTTCGATATTCTTGCTCTAGCTAAAATAGTTACAATGTTTTCTAAAAGTAGGATAAAATCAAATAAAATTGAACATTAAAGCGACATTTGGGTTAGAGTTAGTCACTTAGGTATATATACATAGACATAATATTCTAATAACATTTTCCCTTGAGTTTTTGATTTTCATTTTGTTTTTATTTTTATTTGTCTATACTTAAAATGAAAATATTTATTAAAATTTATAAGTTGAAATGAGTTTGAAGGAAATTTCAGAGAAATTTTTTTCTTATCGTAAGTACATTTTTTCAAACTTTCTATATAAATAGAGTATTGCTCATTAAAGAGGCATTATTTTTAATAGAAGACCGTGAATTAGTTCAAGGGTGGTGAAAATATGAATAGATTATGAAGGTGGTCTCGCTATAGAGGTAAAAATGTATTGAAGTTTTACGGTATTTAATATTTTTTCGAACCGAAACTAAATCATTTGTTAATTTCGGTTATCTATCTATTTCAACTCAATTGGTGTTATTATTGAGTTTTAGAGTAAAAAAAGCTATTTTTTTTTCTGGAAACGACCCTGATCTTCATATACACTCCATTTACATTACAAAATTGTATGAAAATTCATATTATATTACGCAAATATAACAAATGCATATATTTAAAATATTATATATAAAAAATATATATATATACAAATTTAGATATTACACATGATTGTGTCTATATATAATATAAGTATATTTACAATGAATATGTAAGTCAAATATTTCTATAGTGTATGGAATAATAATGATATATGAATGTCTAGAATTAAAACTTAAATATCATGGAGTAAGAAAAATAAGAACAAGAATAACATAACAAAAAAAAAATAAGGAAAAACTATAACCCCCTTGTGGATAGTGGATGAATTACTACATATATGTATGTATATGTATGTAGAAGTATAAGTTTTTACATTATTTTCTATTTTATTTTTTTTTTGTGTATTTTCTTATAAAACTAAAAATTATTAAAACTAAAAATATTTCTGTTGCTGATGGAATGAGAATAATTGTTTTGTTCAAAAAATTGTAATAATTTAAGGACATTTATCTTTCTTATTATAAACATTACAAAATATTATTATGTATGTAGGTAAAATACATATATGTATACATAATATGTGCGTATGAATATAAGTCGAAATATAATGTAATATAGGCATACAATATGAGTCTACATGTAGGTCTATTATAAATTCCAAGCATAAATATTTGGATAAGTAATACGCAACCAGTAATCAACCAGACAGACATTGGTATTTTATTTATAAGTATTTCGAAGTTATTATTTAGCACATTTTTAAAATATCTGGATAAAATTGTTCTTATTAATTGTATTGAATGTTTGTTGGCCCATTGTGTAAGGAATCAATTTTTATATGGAAGACCATTTGAAATTTGTAAGAAATTAAAGCTCTCTAAAAGAAATGTCCTGAAAAAGCTGTTTTCGGCCGCTTTATTCTATTGATTATTCCTCTAATGTTTAAAAAGTTGACGACTTGTTTTTTCTGCAATAATAATAACAAAAGCAAATCTTACTCATCAACAAAATATTTGTTTAAAGTTCCGGTTATCGTGAATAAGTTTTATTTAAAAACTTAAATTTATTTAACATGTTTAATATTCCTGAGTTGCCAACCTAGAGATGACCTTTAACAGTTTATAGACATGAATAAATAGCTTATATTGTTGGGATTAAATTTTCTTTTATTACGGCTTTTCTCTCAAATTATCAAAAATTAACAAAAATTAGCAAAATTCAAAAACTTAAGTGTTCGAAATTGAGAGAAATTCTCAAAATTTCTATAAAGACAGAGGAGCCAACTGCAAAAGATTTTCTATTGAAGAAATACAACAAGATATGTATTGTGTATCCTAATTATCCTCCGACTAGCTTCAAAATTCGGCCTTTATGTTAATGTTTGATCTCTTTTTAGATTTATGTTTCCGCTCTGAGGCTTGCAGTCATGGGTTTCTCTTCGAATCAGGAGATTGAAATGTAAATAAAATATTGTCGATTTTAAAAAAAAAATGGCTTTCAGAAAAACTTAAATTGTTTAAGGAAAACGTGCTACTTTAAAATACGCTGATTTGATCCGAGTTTTTTCATAAATATAATTTCATTCTCTCTTTTACATATTGTACATTTTCTTCTCGCAAAAATACCTATCTATAACATGTCTGACATTTTCGTCATTTTTCATATTTACTCCCCAACTTATTCCAAATTTATATTTTGTCTTTTCAACTTTAACTTTTTTTTTGTCAATGATAAATAATATTATTTAGAAATGTAGGAAAAATATGAGAAATATTTTTTGAAGAATTTTCCGAACTTTATTTATTTTAATGGTTATGGTTAAAAGTTTCATGGGTGTCATCGTCATCGTCGTCTTCCTCGTCGTTGCCGTTGTTATTGTTGTTGTTTTTATATTTTTCGTCATTATTGTTCTTCATCATCATCATATCGTTATCATTATCATCATCATCGTGTTAGGGATTTGTTTCTTAATTACTTCATTAATAAGAAGTTTAAAGTATAGAAAAAGAAAAAGTAAAGTTGAATGGTTTGAAATGAGAGAAGGAGAAGTATAAAAGTTAGTTGAAAAAAGGAAATTATGATGGTTTAACAAGTAAGAGAAGAGAAGGGGAAATTTTTCTCATTTTTTGTTTTGAGTAATTTTAAATATAAATGTTTTAAATGTTTAATGAAAGAAATCTTTTCTTTTCCTAAACAATTTCCTAGAAAATTTTAAGTATTTAAAATATTGAATGCCTATGTACATATATATATATATATACATTATGTACCTTCCTACATAATAATTTTAAATGTAAATAAGTCTCTTCATTTAGGTTTTTTGTATAAATATAAAGTACAGTGGCTTTTTTGGTAAATTAAAGAATTAAAATGTCAAAAATATTGTAACAATTTTATAATTAATGTGAATATGTGTGTTTGTATACAATGTTTATGTGTACATTAATATAAGTCAATTATTTTTAAAGAATATTAAAAGGTGTTTTTTTTTTGTGGGAGGAGAGGAACGTTTTTATTTATTTCAAGGTGTTTAATATAGAAATAGAATATTTTTAGATAAAATATTTTTTGAATTTAAATTAATTATGGAATTTTTGAAATGTAAATGTTTAGACAATAGGATATTTAAATAATGATTCTTGTGTTTCGAATTTATAGAAGATCGTATATATAGAAATATTTTATTTAAAGAATGATTAATAAGTTTCTGTTATTCGGTTACGATTTTCAATAATTGATAAAATCATAGATTTAATAATGTTGCCATTATTTCGTTCAATTCATCCTTTATAATAGACGCTTGCAGCTGGATATCGCAATCATTCAATTATTTCAATATAACAGTGACCGATTTTTACCCGTCCTTTAATAATTAAGCATTATTATCCTTAAAGTAACTCTGACAATTTGTATTATTGATTTATATTGTAGTTTGGAAATTTTTTTGAAGTAAACATAAGAAATAATTGTAAAATTTTGTAAAAATCTCAATTTAGACTAATAATTTTAAAAACAAAATTTATGTAAGTTTAATAAATAAGAAGTAAATATAATTTTCTTTACTAAAATTTCACCATAACAAAAGGCAATCAACGGATAGTAAAATAGAAAACAATTCATTGAAAATGCAGGAAAATTTAAAGAAATTTTTTATCTTATTGTTGTAGTTTGAAAGTTTAAGCTCTAATATTTTGTTCTTTAAATATTATAGTGTAATTTTGAATTTGTTATTTCTTCAGTAGGACTCCATCTTGCCGAGCTGATGCTACCTTCGACCATTATAAAATTCTACCTTTATCAGCGCATTCGAATTAACGAATAGCACAGGGTAGCTGGTTGCTATATATTGCAATGACCAAACGGGTCAATACCAAATATGATTTTTAATAAATAATAAATAAATAGAGTTAAAACTTATTTTCTAGAGGTTGAACAAATTAAAAGTGAAATTTTTGGATAATAACACAACTTATTGTGAGAATAAGCTCGAAAACCTATTATTATTTTGGATAACAAAGTGTATCTCGCAAAAAATCTTGTAAAATAATTAAAATTATTGTTTAAAGTTGAAAATATTTGTTTCTATTTTCGAGTTTTTAATTTAAATTACATAAAAGGAAAAAAGATTTGCTAAAATTCCAAAAATAAATCTCCAAAACAAATTGAGAAATTTGCAAACAAATGGTCAAAATGGGAGCAAAATAACAATGAATTAATAAGAATTTCCAATTAAATTAACCCTTTTTCCGAAATGAAATTCATATGAAAACGCAATATAGTGTTGTTAAGAAAAAACTTTTATACAAAGAAAATAAATCAGTTAGTTTGCGTTAGCTTAATTTTTTATATACTAAATACAACACTTTAAATTTTATGAGAAGATGCGAGTATCGGAAGTATGTTAATGTTGTTGGTTATTATTTCACAATCGACTACAATTTTATAAGTAAAAAACACGAGAATAGATAAAAGTGACCGTGTCAACGTTTTGATTCCCCGATACGAGTGAATGATTTTAAGTTCTGTATTGTTCCACAATATAAGAGCAAATGATTTTTCAAATTGTATAGGAGCTACCATCAGAAGTCAAGAAATTTCAACTAATTTTATTGAATAAGAGCCTTAATAAAATATTTTCTTTTGCGGAATTTTAGTTCTTAAAGTGTTATAGTTTCTGAGATATGGGCAAATAACTTTCGAAGTTTTATGGCAGCTATCATCATAAGTGCTTCTTCCGAAAATAATGGTCATTTTCACCATATAGTTATTTTTTAAATATTTCAATACTGTAGCATCAATAATTTGTAAGATATGACCAAGTAACTTTTGAAGCTACCACAAGGAATCAAGTATAATTTAAATGATTTTTGTTACACATAACAGTTCTTATAATATTTTGCTTGTGCGAAATTTCAATATAATAATCACTTTCAATAATTTTTGAGATGTAGACAAATAGTTTTTGAAGTTGTACAACAGCTAGTAAAACAACTGCCTCAATCACATTCAATTTAAGTTGATTTACTGTTTTAAATCATTTATAAAAATTTGGTGAGGTTAGATTAATTAGTTTTTGAGTTATAGTTGGAACGGATGAAATCGACTCAGAAGATTTAACCATGTCTTCCCGACTTTGATCAAAAACAAACACTTACGTCTTATCTCAAACCATTTTTACTTAGAGTTACTTACAGTAAGGCAAATTTAGTATACCCTTTGAACATACCTTCGTATACGCGTATAAAAATAGCAATTCAATTGTTTTTAAAAAGGCTCTGTCTCATATCTAAGTATAATAATCTTGTTCTAGTAATTAAACTATTCTCAACTGAATAGAGAAATCTCATTCAGACTCTCGGATTTTTAAGTGAGTTCAGCAATTATTTTGACTCTTGGTATAGTACTCAGACTACTGCTCATATATAGACTTCATTTATTTCTATATTATATGCATAAAAGTTTTCGAAATAGTTTTGATTACAAAAATTTTTTTAAACATTTTATTTAAATTTGTTCGACAATATTTTTTATGAATTTTCTATGCATTTATTTTCTATATTGTAATAAATTGTTGATGTAGCATTTTGAAAACTATTCCATTTTTTCGTATATAAATGTTGTAAATCCTATTTGCAAAATCCTATTAAATTTTGTGTTAAAAAAAAATTTATAAGTTTTCTAAGTTGTTAACAAATATTTTCAAAAGATTTCTGTTCCTTTTTTTTTGTAAATATTTTTCAACTTTATAAATACAACAACGCACACAATACGTACAAATATATAGAATAGAGATGGAATCCTTTTAAGGTATTTTTTGAAATTTTAGAAATTTTAAAAGTTTTTTTTTTTTTGAATTTCTACGGAACGAAACACATTTATTTTGGGTGTGGAAAAGTTTGTATATATGGAAAATTTAATAATACAAGCGTTGTGTAGAGGAGCGCGTTGATTTTTGTTGAAATCTAGAAAAAAAAATCTGATGTGGTCAGCATATAACCGACCGCATTGTGTATTGTCTAATTAAGTGAAAGTGTTGTAGAATATTTTAAAAATGTCTGTTAAATACTTCTTTCTAATTTTTAGGTCATTAGTAAGCTTATAGTTAACATACCTAGAAAAATGTAAATTTGGCTCTTAGTAGAGTTTCATTTTGTGCTACCCGGATTCCCTGAAATGCTCGTCAGATAGTTTCAGTACCAACCAGAACTCAAATATCAAATTTCAAGAAATTCCAGTTTTCGAGCCCTGATCTTTCTAAAAAATTCATAGATTTATTGTTGTAATACGAAGAATTTAAATATTAAATTTCAATTAAATCGGTTGATTATTTCACTTTATATACGCAAAAAAGTTATATTCGTAAATATATTCAAAAATTATATTAGTAAACGTCCAGTTGTTGATGCTTGATTTCTTCCAAAAGTTAGAAGGTTTCGCAGACGATCAAGCAAGGCTTATATATATGAAATTTCAAGTAAATCGGTTGAATATTTTCTTCAAAATGGTCAAAATGTAAAACAAGCCCGCTAAAAAGTTCAGTTCCCGAGGCCTGATATATCCCAAAAGTTGATCAATTCGTGCCACAGTCGAAATAAGCTTGCATATAAAATTTCATCGAAATCGGTTCAGTCGAACTTGAGATACACGCATGCACACACAGACGGACAGACCGACAGGTTGCTAAAAATAGTTTATTTACACTTCTCTAACATGGAGGAGTGCATTGCCACCGAAAACTTGATATGCAAAGTTTGTTGCCATCACATAACCTACCTATTGTATACACAATACGGTCGGTAAAAAAACTTTTACATTACTTTTTGTTTAACAAAATAGTTTTCAATAGATAATATTAAATTTTGAATTTTACAGAGATATTTATAAAAATATGAAGTTTATATAGTTTTGATTTTTGAAGTTAAATTGCTTGAATAAAGAAGTTAATTTTCACATTGAAAGTTTTGAATTTTGTTTCTTTTTTTTTTCTAAATTTTGAAATTTAAAATGATTATTTTTCAAAGTTTTGTTATGAAAATAATAAAATGGAAAAATAATAAATTTATTTTGTAAATTAAAAATTATAGTACATTTTATATATGTACTAATTTTGTTGGTTTGTATTTATAAGTGCGAAAGTTGTTTATTTAATAAAATAATTGTTAG